TCTCAATTATTTGACCTTATGGATACCTAATCCTATCTTAACCCAAATTAGGAGAACAGGAATGGAAAAAAGCAAGAAAGACAAAAAGAGAAAAAAGATAATGACTATAGGGAATATTAGAAAAACATCCAAGTAAGACAGAATAGAGTAGTACTGACAAGTGAGAAACTGACAGCAGAACATGAAAAAGAACTGGGTGGCTGGAAAGGAAAGGGGGAAGAGTGGAGGATTGACAGTGAGGAACAGAGTGGGAGAGAAAAAGTTGAGACAATAAGCAAGTGGGTACAAGAGAGGTGAAAAGAAGAAAAGAGAGAAAAAGGAATTTAAAAAGAAATTAAAAAAAAAAGAAATTGAAAAATCCAAAGTTTGCTCATTTGCTATATGAAGTTAACAAGGCTTAGAATAATACAACAGATGTAGTATATAGATAATTTTTCCAGATATAAATGTGTGTCCTTTTATGGTAATTAAGAGCTCTTATGCTAAGACTTCTATTCAAAAGTCTGATCCTGAATTATGGTGTGAAACTAGATACAGGGATCAGAACAACTAGCCCCATGTAGAGGTTAGTATATTTAATAATTTAATATATGATTTAAAAAATTAAAAATCAGTGGATATGTGATAGATTCTTTATTAAATGATTGGGATATTAGGTAACTATTTAGGAAAAAAATATTTAAATTCTAAGAAAAATGCTGAATCAAAAAAAAAAACAAAAAACTTCAATATGTCCAAAAGGAGAAATAAACTACTGACAATTTTCAAGAAACTGATAAGGAGGAATGTCCTTAATATATAGTTTATACAAACCAATAAAAAAATTAAGAGCATATCCAATAGAAAAATGACTAAAGGACATAAGCATACAATAAGAAATGAAATTGGCTAGTGGTCATATGAAAAAATGTTCACTTGTACTAGAAATTTTTTAATAGTAAATTAAAATATAAATGCAATTTTCACTTAACAAACCAGAAAGATTAAAAATGATAATATCCAATGTTGACAAGCTCTGGTGAGGTAATTACACTTAAAACATTGCTGGTAGTAATATAAAATAGTATAACCTTTCTGGAGGACAATTTAGAATGACATGCCAAATATTTAAATAAGAACTACATACTTCAGTAAAATCAGAAATACAAAGATTTGGGTAAAAGGATATTCATTCCAGTTATTTGTAATAGCACTTTATTGGGAAATGGTTATGCAAACACAGCATTTATTTTTGAGTGGGGTATGAAGTAGGAATTTAATAGAATTTTTCCCATGTGGCTAACTAATTGCCCCAGCATCATATAGTGACTAGTTCAACCTTTCCCAACAGATGTAAGACTATACCTTTGTTTCCATATCCACAGTGGTTTGTTTCTAGGTATTCCATTCTCTTCCATTGATCTCTTTATTATCCCATGGCTAATATTACATAGACTTAACGGCACCATTTTAGAATGAGTCTTGATATTGGGTAGAACAAGTTTTTCTGCTTTCCTATTGTTTCAAAAACATTTTGGCTGTTTTCCTCCTCCTACCTTTCTTACTCCATGTACATTTCAGAAATACCTTATTAAGGTCCCCCCAAAGATCCTTTTAAGATTTTGAATAGAATTGAATTTATGGATGCATTTGACAGAAATGACATCTCTTAGTTATTAAGACTTCCCATTCAATAATGTGACATAGATCTTCATTTAAGTATTTCTTAATGTATATGCCTATATCCATATCTATATATCTATATCTATGTAATGGGTACACACAACTTTTGTTATATTTATTCCTTTTTATTGCTATTATAAATGGTATCTTAAAGTTTTAACTTTGTTTTTGACTGGTATAAAGAAATGCAACTGATTTTTGTATACTGATCTTATATCTAGCAACTTAGAGACTTTTTAATATGTTTCCTTCCTGATGGCCCACTTTCCCCTATATTAGGGGGCTATTTGAGAACTCTGAAGTGTGGAAACTGTCAAACATCATTCAGAATGTGTGAATTGGGGTGAAGGTGGACAGATAGGTCACCCCATCCCCTCCTGACTCTGGCAATAATGGAACATGGAGGAATTTCCTTTGAAGCGGTGTCCATCCCCATGGGAGATGTCTCTTTGAGGTAGAGTGCTCAGGCCCTATAGACTATTGTCTTCAGTTTGGGAGCTGGTTCCTTTTAAGCCTTTAGGTTTTAGCTCACATGTCACCTTTTCACTGACTACCTTATTGGCATCTGCTAACTCTCACCTGTACCTTCCTTTATTCCCTATCACAGAATCCAGTTCATGCCCTTTATAGCAGGTAATGATCACACTTCATGAGTGTTTGTTTGATCAAGTTCTTGTTTACTGTCTGTCCTTCCCATCTACTGCAAACTTCATAAGGGCAGGGACTAAGTCTGTTTTGTTTACAGGACTCCTGTATTTTGATACCTGCCACTTAGCCCAATAAATATTTGTGGACTGAATGAATGATTAAATATGTTAAACATCTGTTTCAATGCTTAATGTTAATAATATATTGTATCATCATTTAAAATATATTTTACTGTATAATTTTATTTTGACTCACAACTAACTTTAAAATAGGTTTTGCTAGTCCCCATTTGACAAATGAGGTAACTAAGGCATAGGGAAATAAGTAACATGGTCCAAATTAACAGCTAGATATCAGTGGAGTGAAAACCGAGCCCAAATCACCTAACTCCAAATCTAATTCAAAACTATGTAACAAAAGAGAAAGAAAAAGAAAAGAAGGAGGGAGAGGATATAAGAGAAAGACGAGGGAGGAAAGTTCATTTATTTCTGAATTTTCCATCTCAAGGGCATATTATACGGTTTATTCTGCTAAGAACTCCTTAAATCTCATACTTTAAATCTTTTCAGAAACCTCATACCTCATTAAAACATTTCAGGCCAGTAGACATATTAACACTTTCAAGCAACACTGTTCTACATGAATCATACAGAGTGGGAAATAAAGGAGTTTGCAGTTATAGAACAGTCTCTTTATCTCTGCTACAGTTCACCAGTATAAAACTTACATGTAAAATCCAGTCAGATAATCATGTCTGATAATTGTAAGAAGTACTAACAACATGATTTAGTTTCAATTTTAAGTTCCAATTCATTATCTCATAATTTTTCTGCCTTAGTTAACATTACACAAAACTTTGGCTCTCTTGTAACATTTAAAATCCAGAAGAGTATATCTTCCAAGTTTTACCATAGTTGTGAGTGTAGAAATAGAACTAATTTCCATTGGAAGCATTACTGAAAGAAAGAATACTACACTACATTTTGCTAGATAGGTCTCCTAAGGCAAGGGAAACAAAAACAAAAATAAACTATTGGGGCTACATCAAAATAAAAAGCTTTTACACAGCAAAGGAAACCATCAACAACAACAAAAAAGGCTACCTACTAAATGGGGGAAGATTTGCAAATGATATATCTGAAAAAGGGTTAATATCCAAAATGTGTAAAGAACTTCTATAACCCAACACCGAAAAACCAAACAATCCAATTAAAAATGGGCAGAAGAACTGAATAGACTGTTTTCCAAAGAAGACATTCAGATACAAACAGAAACATGAAAAGATGCTCGACATCACTAATCACTAGGGAAATGCAAATCAAAACCACAATGAAATATCATCTTACCATCTGTCAGAATGGCTAAAATAAAAATGTCAAGAAATAACAAGTGTTGGTGAGGATGTGGAAGATAAGGAATCCTCATGCGCTGTGGGTGGGAATGTAAATTGGTGCTTTGGAATGGGGGTTCTTCAAAAAATTAAAAATTGCTATACCATATGGTCCAATAATTCCACTATTGGGTTTTTACCTAAAGAAAACAAAAACACTAACTTGAAAGGATATATGCACCTTTATTTTTATTGCAACATTATTTACAATAGCTAAGATATGGAAGCAACCTAAGTGTCCATTGATAGGTGAATAGATAAGGAAGGTGTGTTATATGATGCAGCCATAAAAAAGGGTGAGATTCTGCCATTTGAGACAATATGGATGGACCTAGTGGGTATTACGCTAAGTGAAATAAGTCAGACTGAGAAAGACAAATACCATATGATTTCACTCATATGTGGAATCTAAAAAAACCGAACAAATGAATAAATAAAAAGCAGAATCAGGCCTATAAATACAGAGAACAAACTGATGGTTGCCAGAGGCGAAAAGGTGGGGGTGGGTGGGCAAAATGGGTAAAGGGGAGTGGGAGATAGAAGTTTCTAGTTATGGCATGAATAGGTCATGGGAATGAAAGGCACGCATAGGGAATATAGTTATTGGTACTCTAGTAGCATTCTATGGTGACAGATGGGAGCTATGCTTGTGGTGAGCACAGCATTACATATGAACTTGTCAAATCACTATATTGTACACCTGAAACTAATGTAACATTGTGTGTCAATTCTATTTAAAAAAAAAAACCCACTACACTCAATGGTATTTTTCTTTTAATCAATGATTCTCACTGATTTTAATCAATGATTCTATCTGTCCCCTTTTCTTTTTTTGTTCCTAAATCTAATGATAAAATGCTTGGTAATTTCTATTGATTCTGATGAGCGAGCTTCCTACTGTGAAGTTACAAGAAGGAAAGACATCTCCTATTTTTCTTAGTCTCCATGTAGTAAAAGTCAAAGTACCAGCCCTTAAGTTAATAATACTATTTTTGTGATTTGGAGGGGAAAATACTTTGCTGCCCAAAGGTAATCCACACAGAAGAACTGAGAGCTAGGTGAAACACTCTGACAGAATAGGACCTTATTATAGAAGCTATTGACACAAGAACTCTAAATCGCTGACAAGTACCACTCACCTCCTCTTCCTGAACCCAACAGACTAATGATATAGTATTGATGGAATTCTGTCTGTTGCAGGAGGACAGAACAGTCCATTCTTAATCCAGAATGGTTTATCAGGGATGGACAATGACATGACCTAGAGCTTAGTGAGCACCACCTCAGGACTCTGACATACCCATCACTGAGACATCATATTCTATCAGCAGTGTTGCTTCTTGTCCACACTGTTTAAGAATGCTCATGGCTTCAGCATGTGTGGTTCCGAGAAGCCGAATTCCATCCACACTGAGCAACCTGTCGCCAGGTTTGATGGTGCCCTCTCTGAAGGGAGAACAGAGAAATGGTCTTCATTAGCGTAACCTAATGTGGTTTAGCATTAATGGTCACTTAGCCAAAGCAGTTCTTTCACGGGTTCAGCCCTCCATCCTATTTGCATTTCCTTTTAAGCATCGAGTGTGATAGTAAGAGAGGAGAGAGGTAACCCTGAACAGAAAATTGCTATAATATGAGTGTCAGTAATAAGGTAATAATTGCACATTAGTCAACCACCAAGTCACCCACACTTAACTCTTGGGGCACAAAAGTACCAAACACACAGTTTTTGCTTTTCTAGGTTTTTGCCGAAATGTCTCAAATTGATTTATTAGAGCCCAGAAAGTAGCATTTACCTAGTTTTCCAAAGCCAGGTGAGCAGAAAAGCCTGCTGATTCCATTCAATTTATTACTGGTGAAAGCAAGTGGGACAGGGAGCACTGGCGAAAAATTTCCCTAGTCTATAAATTTCCCTACTGATTTATCAGGCCATTTTGGCAATCATTAAATTGATTCAGTCTCATATTCCCTATGAGACAGGGAAATACTATTCTTTCCGCTGTGACCACAGATGCTCCAGGCACTAGAAGAAGATACCTCAGGACGTGAGGGACACCACTAAAATATAGCCAAGGAGCCTTCCAGATCATAGTCTTCCTGCCTCAGGGAGGGTCATGGAGATGAGAAAATCAAACGGGGATTACAAGTTTAGGATTTAAAAGGATAAAAATCTCTTAAATATCCTTCACCTAGATAATCCTCTAAGAATTTTGACTAAATTTTTATCTTAAATTTTTAGATTCCACTTCATCCGAAATTAAATTGGTTATATGTTGCTCACAAACTAGTGGCCTGCTTCTGACATTTTTGTCAATCTCAACCTAAACATTAATAAGGAACAAAAATATTCTTATTTACTTCCAGAAGAATAATTCACAAGAGAAGCCCAAGAAAGGAAAAAGGCAAGATGTCTGTAAAAATTTTGACTTTGTATTATCTTCTGCAAAGGCAAACATACTATAGCACAGGGGAGAAACCAGTATCTTATTTTATATTAAACACAAACTTTTTAGAAAAGGAAGGTAACAGCATGAGTTTTGAAGGAAAATAAACCTGAATTCCTATCCTAACTCTTCCATGTATAAGCCAGCTGGCAAGTCACTTAACCATACTGCACCTCAGTTTTATCACCTGTAAATGTGGATAAAAAATATTTCATTTAGTAGGCAGTTGTAAGGATAAAATAAAATAATGTCTGCCAAGCACTTAGGACATTTCCTGGCACGTGGTTGGTTACATGCTCAATTAATACTATGTATTATTACTATTTCTATTGCCTAAGAAAAGGTTTAAAATCTGTATCCTTGTTTGAAACATAGTACAGAATCAGGGGTAATTGGGGCATTTTTCTCCTACCCCTCAGCAATATCGAATGGCAGGAGTTGTGGTTTTCTGCCTTTATGGAATTGACTTTTGCTGTGGGAAATTGTAATACAAAGACAAGTATTTCCTGAGACAGCTAAGTTGTGAGTTTACTTAGGAATACCCCCCCCCATCATGTTTATGATATGAAAGCTAAAGGAGCTGCCCTTTCAAATATTCAAATCAGTAAGGAAGAGATAGCTCTAGACACTGACAACGCTCCTTCCCTTTTATTAAAAGTCACTTCCAGGGGTGCTGGGGTGGCTCAGTAGGTTAAGCGTCTGCCTTCTGCTCAGGTCATGATCTCAGGACTGGGATTGAGCCCCGCATCGGGCTCCCTGCTTAGCAGGGAGTCTGCTTTTCCCTCCGCCTTTCTCTTCATCTTATACTCTCTCTCTCTCTCTCAGATAAATAAATAAAATCTTAAAAAAAAGTCACTTCCATTCTGACATATATAATCATTATCAAAAGGTAATAATAATCCTAAGAATGTGGATAATAGTCACAATCAAAATGCCACCACCTATCTTTCCAGATTAGGAGATTAGCATTTGGAGATGATGCATGTAAAGTGCCTGCCTTAAAAAAGCCAGCCGCCTTTTATTAAGTACCTACTGCATGATAGGTCCCCTGCAAGGCATCAGCCAGTCTTTGATAAAATTGAAGACCTTGAAAGGTAGGTATTGTTATCTACATTTTACAGTGCAGGAAACTGAGCTCAGAACTGTTAAGTCACTTGCCAAACATGGAGGGTAGTTCAGTGTCGAGTCTGGGGTCAAACCTTCTTTCTTCTGATTCCACAGCCCAAACAATTTCAGTTTTCACATTCCAACATATTTGCTTTCCCCAGCTTTGTTTAATCTATTTGGATAGTGACACAGAGAGATGAAGTTTACCTGTCAGCAGGTCCTCCAGGACGAACACATGTTATTACAACTGGACGAGATTTATTTCTATCGTCATGTGCTCCTCCTAGCAAAAAAGAAAGACAGAAAGAAAGAAAGAAAGAAAGAAAGAAAGAAAGAAAGAAAGAAAGAAAGAAAGAAAGAAAGAAAGAAAGAAAGAAAGAAGGAAAGAAAGAAGGAAAGAGAAAGAAAGGAAGGAAGGAAGGAAGGAAGGAAGAAAGGAAGAAAGGAAGAAAGAAATACAGCTTAGCAATGCTTCCATTAAAAAGAATCACTTACAAAATGCCAGCCGAGAAACTAAAGTATATTTTGTTAATGTGTAGAGGAAAACGTGTAAATTTTTTCCAAAAATCTTACTCATTTTATATAGAATACGCTTTTGGAGTCACAATGTCTCCACCTGTCCATAAATATATGGCTGCATTCAAGGGTGACATAGAAAATATTTAACAACTAGTGTCACAAGAGCATGAACTACTTACGAGTACTAGCTTAATTAGAACAGTCAGTTATGAACAAAGTGCAGGTGGGTATACCTGGGGCCAATGAACCTGGGCTATAATACAGGTGAGTAGGTCTACAACCTGACATAAAGGAAGCAAACACTGAAGAGGGAAAAACTATATAAGTGTCTAAAACAAGAAAGAAAAAATTCAAGAGGCTGAGTGTGTTCCATTAAAGTTGGGCTGTTCAAAAAACTGGGGGCAAATTTGACAGACTATTTAAAAAAACTGCAACACTTAAATGGAGATTTTAGTTTTGTATAAGGACAATTTATGCTCAAGAATTCTTGGAAACAGAAAAACTTCAAGATGGAAGGTATTTTTTTTTTTATAAATTCTCTTCTAAATCCAGGACCCCTTTGTAAAACTTCCATAATCTGTGCTTCCCCAACCTCTTCTTGAGACCCACCAGTTGGCCTACTTATTAGGTTCGAGGCAGCCCTTTCACATTCGGACACGTAGGGGTGTTAGAAGCTTCTTTCTAATTATTCATCTGATATCTGTCTTCCTTCAACTTTCATCTCCTGGTCCTTGCTCTATTATTTAGAGCAGTGAAACAAAAATGGATGCTCTCTACTAGAAGAAACATTTTCTGAAAGTTGAAAACAGTGATTATACACCTGCTAAGTCTCATCTTCTTCAGGCTGGACATCTCCACTTTCTTAACTATTCTGCATCTGACCTGATTTCTTTATACATCACCATCATGGCTGCCTACCTGGTGGTCCCTAGTTTGCCAGTATCTGATAAGTATGAATATTACCATCAAATATTCCTTCCCTAACGTCTGCCTGGTAGCACAGACTGGCATTCCTCAAACTTGGAACAGGTAGAGAGGTCAACTTAAAGAATCTAGCCTCAAAGGAAAATCAAAAGGCATTCACTGTTCCTGATGAAGGGAAATGCTTCCTTTCTGCTCACTTCTATTACAAATGATTTATTCAGTCTGCCTGATTATACTCCATTTCAGTATCTCACTCTTTCCCTCAGTTTGATGGCTTCTTTCAAAGTTCCTCCTTACTTACAATAGGAAATTCACAACTTCCTCAGAAAAGCATTTTAAAATGAAAATCATGACAATAAATTACAGCCCATGCTTACCCATATTTATATAAATACTATTATGTAATTTCTCTTTTGCAAAGTGATCATGAAAAGATAGATTTGTTTTCTCCTGAAGGAATGTTGATTTAGAAAATGATGGGGGCTGAAGACAGTACAAAACTTCCCACAATTTTGATCTGGTCTACATTTAAATCCGTAATAGTGAATGCATGGCAAAAGGTGAGATAGCTCTAAATTTTTCGATATGTGACATTTTATCAGTTTTTGAAATAAGGAACCACATTTAGCTTGTGATTCACTTAGGTTCTAGATGTTTGGAGCTGCAAAGCAAAACAGAGACCACCCAGAGACCAGTGGTATTCTCAGTCCTGGCTGCACATTAGCATCATTCACCTGGAATACTTTTTGAAAATATCAATGTCAGGGCCACAATGCAAAACCAAACCCGAATATTGGGCTCCCCCATGTTTTAGATGAGGAGACCCGATCTACAATTTTCTAGTTGAGAATGACTGATAGAGAAAGTTTTCTTGCCCAAAGTGAAAAGGAACTTAGTGGCAGAGTGCTTTCCCTATTATTCCAAGCCATCTTCCTTAGCTTGGTGGCAAGGGAATTAACTGAAATTTAACTCTGCAAGATTTAGCCCAGAACATCATTTTTCATTCTATAGGTGCCAGGTTCTATCATTTGGGGAGTCAAGGTTTTAGAACCTATGACATACAGCATTAGAAATGCAATTCCATTTATCAGGTAAAAGCCTGCTTTATCGTTCCAACACCCATTCTAACTGGTTAAGAAGAAATTCACCAATTCTAAATGAATGTGTTCCATCTGTGATATTGTCCTCCTCCTTCCCAAAAGTCCTGGTACTCTCACTGAAATAACTTTAGCTCAAATTCCATCGATGCCATGATGTCTTCTCTGCCGTGATAACATTAACCCACAGTACTTTCTCATTCTGCAACTCTTTTTGTGATTAATCGAGATTCTGAAGGGAGGGGTGGGGGCCACCTTTTGAACATGGAAGACTCTTCAAGTGGGCCTCAAACTAATCTAAAAATATAAATGCTTTATTTGATTCTTATGAAAAATTATGCGAAATTGCACAAACTTACATTCAACTAATGTACTAAGGGAGTTTTTAAAGCCTACAAAAATGTGGTACTCATAAACCAAAATTGGTTCATTATTACTAAGGTTTTAAAATCAGTGTTAATGTTAAGAAGTTTATGTCCACACAAATCTAGGCAACATTCAATTATTTATTCATTTATTTATTAAGTGCCTACGATATACCAGGTAGTATTCTAGGCTTATAGTAGAAAACTTTCATTCTGCATGCACATACAGATATTTAAATTCCTGCAAATGGTGGGACGGGTGTTTTGTTGACATTATATCATCGGTTGTCTTGAGGTGGTTGTAGATTTCAAATGTTTCCATTCTTTTTTTGTTCCTAATGATAAATTACTGTTGTTTTAGCTCTTTCATTAGCAATTTGATTTGTTATTGATTAATACAGCAACTAGTAATGAATATTTGCACCAGCAGTATTTTTTACTGCAGCTTTTCAATAATTAGGCTTGTAGGCATGTAATTCAAGTGTGTCCCTCTATCATACCTATATTGCAAAAACAGATTTGTATCTACCACCCTCTGGGCCAAAATTACTTGTATACTGACTTTTTATTATATTCATCTAGTTCTCTTGCACAGAAATGTGGGAATGGTTAAGGTAAATGATTAAGGTAAAATGCTCCATCTAAAAATAGGAGCTGGTCAGAAAAAGGTAATAAATTGCTGGTCTAAATCACGCAGTGAGTTCCTCATTTTCCATTTTCTCTACTGCTCACTTGGGTACTTTATCAACTTATGTCTTAAATTCACTGGATTGTAATTCCCTGCAGATAGGGAGCTGTCTTATGACTCCCCAGTCCTTGGCCCTCTGCTGACATGTTGACATGTCCTTAATAAATCTCTGATTGATTTGCTAGATAATTGGCACGGAATCGAATCCAATGTTTAAAGCTTAGTCATTTAAGACAAAACTATATAAGTGAACACATTTCTTTTATTCCTTGTTGCATGTATGTTTATTAAGATGCTTAATTTTCACTAATGTTTTAATAATTTGGATAAAAGTTTGACCCTGGTGAAGTATAAAATATTATAGGTAAAAACACAAAAAAACAAGAAATGTGAAATGTTAAAAAAATTCCTTGATGCCTACATAGTTCCCTATTGAACTTTATTGTCACACTACGAATTATGAGCTGTTTTTCTGTAGTCTTTAAGGTGTGAAACTGCTAATAAGAAAAATAAAATATTAAAAGCCAGAATTACAGCTCAGAATTAATGGTTTTATAGACAATTTGGAGTCACCTGAAATCTTTATTATTAATGTCATCCCATAATAAAGTAAATTAAGCTGATGCACGTAGGTTCCCAGGGATTAGATTATCTTCAATCCATTTTTAGAAAGCTACAATAACAAAATGTATTTCAGGAGAAAATAATTTAAACAAGGTTGCTTACACCTAGTGTATTAAATCAAATCAAGCCATACTTATCAACATTTTGACTCGGAGATACAGGAAAGTATACAGGGAAAGCAAACACATTCGTTGAAAAGTGATAAATCAGTAGGACAAATGAATTGATAAGGTATACAAATGGTGACTTCTTGGTCTGTACTAATGGGCTGAAAACAAATCTAGGTCATTTGGATTCTACTTTGATTCCCACTCATTGCTTTATTTTTTAAAACAGTGGGTGCAAATATTATAAGATGACTTTATGCATTAGAAACATCTGTTGTGGGCACCCGCGTGGCTCAGTCGTTAAGCGTCTGCCTTTGGCTCAGGTCATGATCCCAGGGTCCCGGGATCGAGCCCCGCATCGGGCTCCCTGCTCCACGGGAAGCCTGCTTCTCCCTCTCCCAGTCCCCCTGCTTGTGTTCCCTCTCTCACTGTGTCTCTGTCTGTCAAATAAATAAAAAAAAAAGAAACATCTGTTTTTGTTGTTGTTGTTGTTTTTTGGATGATTTTCTAGTTCACTCCTAATATTTCATTGACAAATTCTCCAAGAATATCTGACGGTTCACATTTTCCAGCTACCACCTACCTCGTATTACAAAACCGAAGGTATTGCCTTCTTTATGTAATGTGACCTCCACTGTTCGGAAAATAACACTCGGTCCTTGAACAGCTGAATGCAGAGAAGGGAGAGAGAAATAGAAGTCTTAAGTCATAAGAACATACCCATTTTTTTGATGTGGCATAAGACGCTACAGATCCCTATTGCAAATAATTCTTATGAGCAATCAAAGGGCAATAATTTCTTTTCAAAGACAAGGTTAGAAAAAATACTTGGAATATCATACAAATACCATAAAATAGTTGTCTGCATAAGTGATTTAGGCTTAGGCCCAAGTGGAATCAAAATCATAGGTACTTTCTTTCTTCTTATGTAGCCAGCTTATAAGTGGAACATAATAATCACATTGTTAAAACTCTGTAAGAGATACAATCTTCATATAATCAATAGAATTATTTCCCTTTTGTAAAATCTAAAAACAGTAGGATTTTTGTAAAACTTGAAATAATGTATTTATATTATTTTTGCAGCTAGTACAGGAAGAAAAAGTGTTACTCTCAAATTACCATTAACAGATTAGGCTGATGCAGATAGATTTTCTGACATGATGCATCTCAGTTAACAAAGACAACCCAAATCAAACTTGGAGAGCAAAAAAAAATTCTGATGTACATTCAGAATATTACTGCTGTCTAATAAAATAAAGATTTACTTAGCTTTATTTGATACCATCATGCATATGTTGTGTTTGTCTGCTTATTGCTTCTATTTCACAAAATAAAATTGCATGACCAAGTTGATATATCTAATTAATATTACACAGAGTATACATGTGTAACACAGGGTATGAGTTGCAAGAAGGTATAGTAACTGAATTCTTCTGTGAGATTGTTTTCAGGAAAGTGGTGAGTAATTCTGGTTATATAGTACACCATTGCTGAATTAAAAAAAAAACAAATCTCCACAAATTAATATTTCATCATTATGGATACAGGGATGTTTTTACTCAGAGGGACAAAAAAGAATTTACAAACAGTAGAATTTGATGGTCTTAGATCCTAATCTTGAATTTGTACAATGATAACTAATTATCTAATGCTGTGTTTATTATCAATGGCACACTTCTTACGTTGCTATTAGATCTTGAAAAATTTATTACATAAAACTATCAACAAGAGGGGCACCTGGGTGGTTAGTCAGTTAGGCCTCCAACTCTTGGTTTCAGCTTAGTCATGATCTCATGGGTCATGGGAGTGAGCCCTATGTTGGGTTGGGTGCTCAGCCTGGAATCTCCTTGAGATTCTCTCCCTCTGTCCCCTTACCCCCTGACTCATGTGCACTCTCTCTCTCTCCCTCAAATAAATAAACCTTTTAAAAAATAAAACTATCGGGACGCCTGGGTGGCTCAGTTGGTTAAGTGGCTGCCTTTAGCCCGGGTCATGATCCCAGGGTCCTGGGATCGAGTCCCACATCGGGCTCCTTGCTCAGCAGGGAGCCTGCTTCTCCCTCTCTCTCCTCCTGCTTTGTGCTCTCTCTGTCAAATAAATAAAATCTTAAAAAAAAATAAAACTATCAACAAGAAATATATGGATAGAATAGATACAGGTATAGATTCTATAGACAGAATTTAATTGCATCTTTTAAAAGAACATTTCTTACCATTTACAGAGATAGGAAGCAATTTTAATTTAGCATTAATTGCAGCTATTTTTAATTATCAGAAAGTCTGAATCGTCAAAGGAATAAACATGATTATGAAAAGTACACAGTTAAATTCACAAAACTGCACACATCCAGCTGGGATATAAAGTACAACATGAACTTGGATCTGCTGAAAAACAACATAAACCTACAGCTGAACAAATGTTTTGGTATACTGCTGATTTAATTAAATGTCATATTCTTGCTATCAGGGGAATTTCAGTTCATTTTAATCAGCTAGGAACAGTACCTTTAAATAGCTGAAAGTGTTGAGGTACAGTTTTAATTAAATGAAAAAAAAATTGAGTTCAAACCAAATGTTTTCTTATTTCCATGACCCAACAAGCCACCTGAAGTAATTGGTTAAGAACATGATCTTTTTGTTCTACTGGAACAAATAGAAAGGAAAGGAAAAGATATGGGGAGAAATAATTAATGAGCATCTACTGTGTGCCAGGAAATCTGCAGAGTGGTTTACAAATATTATTTCATTTAATCATTAAATCAACTTTCAATTATATACAACCAAATTCTAATTCTGGGCCACCTGTCCTTGTTGGCTGGGTGTCTGTTCTGGGAATGAAATGCACTGTAATTTTAATTTGCTTGAGCTAACTCTTGCTGACCACAAAATCTTATAATCAAATCTAGAGTCAATATAAAGACTTTTAGGATTATCTACAGCTTTAGATTATCCACATTCTTGCTGTTTATCATTTACAAAAATAAATGTGAATGTTGACTACATTTTGATATACTTAATGAAATAGATTTAGTCTTTATAATTTTTATTTGCATGACTAGATCTTGGTGACTTGGTTTTCATATTCAGTAACTGGACACCCTATATTGCCACGTGAATTGTATTCATTACTTCATATTTGCATATGTGGACATATCTATCCAAATAAGGGGTTTCCCCAAAGAATCAAATCCAGTATGCAAAAGGGCTAGGTTGAAATGAATTTCTCAATGCAAAAATTGTTGTACTGTTGTCCCTTGTTTCCATATGTGAAATTGTATTATTTTACTATGGTAGATTAGATTTTTCTAAATTATGTACTACTCCCCGCCTCCCCAACTTCTACCTCAATAGCAGAATAGGAGTTGGATACTTTCCCTCCTCATTATCTCATTATGTTGGGATTCTATGTGACTTGTTTTGGCCAATGGGATGTTAAGAGATGTAAGGAGAGGTTGGAAATGTGCTCAGGTAGTTGGGCTTGTCCTGTTTTTCCTTTACCACTGTCATAGGAAGTGCTTTCCCTGGGTAGCTTCTGCTCCTTCAGACTGAATTCCAGAATGAACTACATGGAGGAGACCTGAGACTGCTTCCCCCATCCCCATCATTGTCATCATCATCATCAATCACCTGTCTGTCTCTCTTAGAATGGGAATTGAGAAGTAAGGACGCCATCACAGGGACATGTTTTAACACATTTATTTGAATTAAAGAAGGACTCTTTCTGATAGAAAGCTAGTCTGATTTAGCTGATGGTTTAACAGAGAGGACTGCCTTTGCCAATCAGATGCTGTGGCAGACGTTTTCCATAAAATAAATGAAGCAAATATGTAATTCCAAGGTCTGAGTGGAAACACCATTTAAAGACATATAAACATTATGCCAGAAACTCTCCACCTATTTAAGCTCATGATAAAGAATGTTAGGTGCTAACTAAAAAATGAATGAGGATTATGTAATAGTCCAAAATCCTTTAGGGGTTATGTCACCGAAAAATATGAAGGCACTGCTCTAGACCAAATTTAATACATAAATACCTAAGATACGGATTGGTAATAGCTTCTCTAAATACAGTCTCGAACACCACATAATTTTAAAGTCAAAGAGAACTTCCGAGCTCATGTAGGTCAACCATTCCATTTTCATAAAGAATCTGAATCTTACACAATGTAAGTGGTTTGCGCAAGGTCCAAGTTCCATTTCTTCTCTATCAGATCACATACACACAGACATATGCACACACATATCCTTCCTCCACTTCCTTCTGGACTCTGTGGGTGGCTGAGCTTGAAATTGCAGTGATACTTGAGAGAGTTAACAGTCTCCGCCTAGGGCGGCTTATCTCTCGGCAATCAGCTCTCTCCCCAGGGCCTCAAGGCAGCGGCTGGCTCCTGCTAGCTGTCTGAGCTCAGGGAAGGGGATGCTTATTAATCCCTTCAACCTCCCTGAACTCAAAGATCTTATTAATTTATCCAAACATAATAGAGACAGAGATAGTCTGCGGAGAATAGGTCTCTTCTATCTGATTTCTACCATCAAGTTCACACTTTGTTTTTTAAAAATATTTTTTCCCTTTTCCCATCAGCTTTAATGCATGAGGAAGGAAAAGCTGGTATAATCACCAAGTCATGATAGGTTTTAACCCCTGAATATGTCTGATGCTTACTCTTTCCTCTTTAACTTTATTAAAGCTGTATTTATTCAGGATGTCACATTGCTTTTGGAAAATTATAACACCCTTTGGGCTTATAGCCTCTTATCCATTCTCCATTTGGCTCCCTAAAATAGTAACTCTAAAAACTCAAATCTGATGATGATGATGTTCCTTGGCTTTAAAAGCCGTTAAAGGCTCCTTATTGCCCACCTGATAGTATCCAAGCTCCACCAATATGGCTTCCAAGGCCCTCCACCGTTTTGTTCCTATTTGCCTCGCTGGCCTATTCCCCTCCAGGTCTTCTCTCCCTTTGTGTTTCAGCAACTCCAGTCTGTTTGTAGTTCAAACCTTGCACTGGGCTATGTTCTTACCTTCTTGCTGTACCCTCTGCCCAAAATGCTCCTTTTCTTACTGGGCCTGCAGAACCTCCTTCAAATCCTCTGAAACCCCTAGTTCTAGATAACCCCTAACTCGGCAAATCTCTACTACTGGCCTTACCAACCTGGACAGCTATTCTAAGAGTTCTTTTTAGGAAGAGGTTGTGTTTTATTGATATTTATATCCCCAGTGGTAAAAATGGTTAATCAAAGAGCATTAGCTCTAGGTATCTGGATTCTCTTAACTCCTGGCGATGGCTTGAGATAGTGATTTCAAAACAAATGGACTCTTTTTAAGTTCAAGAAAACACAGTACTTTATTGTAATCATAATGGTAAAAATGGCTAAAGGCACTATGGCTTACTAAGTGCATGATGATGATCTAAATACATGATTATAGTCTTGAATTCTTATAAAGTTTCTACATCTATATAGCCATTTTACAGATGAGAAACCTAAGGCTCAGAGAACTTAAATAATAAAGCTAGAAAGGGGAAAACTGACATTTAACCGGTGACACAGTCTAAGCTCTCAGTGCTCGATTCTACTACCTACTCTTGCTGAAAATGAAAAATGTTATAGTATAGCAAGGTTTCTGAACACAGACTTCAGTGGATTTTGTTATAAAAACACCATTAAATTTTCAGTGTTGGATTTTATGTTAAGAATAAGAACTCATGATTGGTCATATACACTCACTCCCCAAGTGCTGTCATCTGGTCCTAAAGCTTCAAACACCTTCTATGTTCCCATTACTCTAAATGTACATGTCCAGCTCAGATCTTTCTCCCAAACTCCTAACCCCATCTCCAGTTTTCTTGACATTGCCTTTCTGCACGTCAAATAGACACCTCCACGGTAGCATTTCAAACAATGAACTTCTGATCTCCTCACAAGTCAGCTCTGCCCACATTTACCCCCCCTCCTCCATTAATGGCAACCCTATCCTTTTAGTTGCTCGGGCTCAAAATCTCAGGTGGTCCTTGACCCCTCTATTTCTGCCCAAACCACATCAAATCTATCAGGAAATCCTGTTGGTTCTACCTTCAAAATGATCAAGAATGTAACTGCTTTTTCCCATCTCCTTGGCCATCTCTCACCTGGATCACTGCAACAGCCCCCCACCTGGCCTCCCAGCGTCTCCCCTTGCCACTGCAGTGTCTTCTCAACACGGCAGCCAGAGGGAGCCTTTGAAAATAGAAATTAGATCATGTACCTCCTTTGCCGCAAATCATACAATGCCGTCCTCTATCATTCAGAGCAAAACTTAAGGTCCTTTCCAGTAGCCTACAGATATACCTCATGCTTTACATTTCTGACCCCCTCTCCTTGGATGGGTGACCTCCTCTCCTACTTTTCTTCATGCTCACTCCGCTCCAGCCAAATCACCCTTCATAATGTTTCTACCACACTCCCAGTATATCCCTGCCTTTGGTTTCAGCGCTGGCTGTTCTGCTTTGTGCAGTCCTCTTCCCCCAGAAAGCCACACCACCTTGCTCACCTCCTTCAAGTCATGGGCTAATGTCCTCTCTTGGTGAAGCTGTTCCTAACCACCCTATTCAAAATGGCAATCCTACCCCTCTCCCGGCACTCCCAATCCCTCTCCTGGCTCTTTCTTTTCCCATGGCATTCAGGACTACTAGCATTCATACTATCTAGTTTACTTCTCTGTTGTGATCTTGTTTTGTTATCTGTCGTCCCCCATCAGAATGTACGGAGCGGTGGCTGGATTGTAGCAAATGCTCAAGAAGTCATTGCTGAACAAACATGTTATTATCAGTTATTAATATTCAACCTGAGGGATGCCTGGGTGGCTCAGTGGGTTAAGCGACTGCCTTGGGCTCAGGTCGTGATCCCAAGGTCCTGGGATCGAGCCCCGCATCAGGCTCCCTGCTCAGTGGGGAGCCTGCTTCTCCCTCTCCCTCTGCTGATCCCCCTGCCTGTGCTCTCCTGCTCTCCCTCTCTGTCAAATAAATGAACAAATAAATGAATAAAATCTTTAAAAAGAAATTCAACCTGAGTTCTCACTGGTAGAGAAAAGCAAAGAGCTTTCTCAGGGTAGTGTCCATGTTAATAGCTTAGTAACAGGAGAGGTGGTCCTAGAACACCAAAGCTTAAATGCAGGACGGCAGTAACACATGGCATATGTATATATCACAATGAATAAGCATAGGGACTTTGGCGTTAGAGAGTCTGGGTTCACATCCTGACTTTGCTGCCTATGTATTTGGGAAAGATAATTAACTTAAGCCTCTGTAAAATGAGAGTAATAATGATGATAATGCCTGTCTTACAGTGCTGACTGATTTGTGTATTCATCATTCATAAAAAATATTTTATAGTGCCAGCCACTGTTCTCATTGCTTTACAAACACGATCTCGTTTAATCCTCACGACTGATCTATGGGTAGGAATGAATATTATGCCCATTACCCAGATATGGAAACTGTGACACAGAAAGCTTAAATAACTTTCTCAAAGGCATGCAGTTAGTTAAGGGTGAAGCTGGGATTTGAGCCTGGCTATTAGACTTCAAAGTTCAGCTCTGCTATGCTGACTTCCCTTACGATGACGATTAAGTGTATCCACGCAAGTCAGGTTTCTTATAATGCTGGACATTGTGGTTCTATTACTGAAATGTGTGTTTCTATTACTATTACTATTATTGTTACTTGAGGATAATGCGTTTTGAATGTATCGTCATGCTTCAGAAATTAACATAACTATATAAGAATCAACGTGAAACACATTAAACACGCTTTTCCTAACCCTAGTCACTAAGTACAAAGCGTGGAAATTAATGTACAGAATTTGTAAATATGTTGACTGTTGATGAAAATAGCTTAAGTGGCAAATATGATGTACACAGATCACCTGAATGGAACATAAATCCTATATAATTTTATTGTTATCTGTGCTCTTTTTAATTCTTCTGGAGTGGCCTATAGGTTTATCAATTCAAATAATGTCTAAATATCAAGAAACCATGCTCTGTCATTCCTGTAATGAGACAATGTTGGCAAAAGGGGGAAAAATGGAGAACCCATTGTTTTAGGCAAAAATGTGGCCCAGCTGTTCTGCCCCGAGTTGTGATTACTTACAGACTGGTGGCAGCTCATACTCGACTTCAAGAACCACTCTTTCCCCGACGTTCTTCAGCAAGCTGATGATCTCATCGTGGCGGAATTTGGCCAGGTTGATCCCATTCACTGCTTTGATGTAGTCACCCACATCCAGCTGATCACTTCTGCAAAATAGGGAATGTCGCTTCAGCAGACCTGTCCTCCCTACAGGCCTGACTGGGTTTTCCACTTTCCCCTTCGTGAAAATGCACGCAAGCCCAAAGGCCTGTGTGGCTGCCCCCACACCCCCACCCCGGGAGTAGGAGCACAGCTGAAGGCGGATGAGAGATTCACGGATCCCTCTCCTCCTGACTGCTATACTTTGAAAGCCCTCTACTGCATCTGCTATGGTCTCTGATTTTTTCCTAACCCTTTGCCTCTTTTATTTTTAAAGAGCACCATGAAATGAGATAAAGAGGTTTTTTGGTTGTTGTTGTTTGGGTGCTCTGCCCATAAAAGAGTTGGTTCTCTAGGAGCAGATTATCCAGATCCTGGCATGCCAGGACTATTTCTTTCTTTTTATTCTCTCTCATTTTGCTGCCTGCCTCCCTAACTCTTTCCTAGCTCTCAAGATCTTCCCTGGGAGTTTGTTGAGGGCTAAAGAAAGGGTCATCTTATTTTGCTATTTATTGCTTACAGCAGGACTGATAAAAAAAAAAAAAAAAGGAAAGAGAACAAATTACAATGAAAGCACTGGGTTTCAGTACTGTTCTTGCCTCTCTCCGACACCATAATAGAACTGTGGCTACTTTGGGGGTTTTAGACAGACTTTACTTCTAAGGCAAGAGCAGGCAGTGAGACCAAAGACAGTCCATCCCCAAACAGAAACACCTAAATGCATTTATTTTATATAAGTCCAGCTCTAATCATTCCTCTTTGTCGAGCTCCCCTAATCTGCTCCAGTCTGCGGTCCATTCTGTTCCTCCTCCCTCAGATTTACTAACTCTCACTGGACAACTTAACCACCTAATGCTCCGTGACAATGGTCACGTTGTTGCTTTTTACTATTTTGCAATGCTGTTATTGCTCCCAAGCTTTTCACGCTTTTTATACTCATCTCCTCTAGTAAGTTATAAGCCCTCTTAGGGCACGGATCTTATCTGTAGTTATTTTAGTTTACTACTTGTAAAATGGTAGTGCCTTAAACAATGAATAGTTGGTCATTGATCATGTGATCGGCACAGCACAACTTTTAATTACAGCATCAATACAAGTGAAGATGGCATTTTCCCCCTATTTACTCTCGCTTCTGGGCTACATAGGAAAAAGTTCTGGAGACATACAAAGCCCTAGCATCACCGATTGGCCACGACTGTTATAAAATAAAGGAGGCTGTGGGTGTGGAAAGAAGTCTCCTCCTGAAAAAAGGAGATTAAGGTGCTTGTGTTGACATCAGCCTATTTTATATACAGTACCTCAGATTATGGAGCAATCAATTGGATGAAGCTTATATAATATTGTACAAACAGGCTGATCATCCAAAGTAATCACTCTTTTCGATGATACTTTATAAAGCAAGAACTCTAAAACTTAATTTGTGATTATGTGGACAAGACTACCGGTGTCCAGGATTTAAGACACATGAACCTCACTTGTAATGAAACCTGACCATCCCATCTGAAGTACTTGGTGACTCCGTCTATAAAGCAAGCCCACCTGTACCCAGCATGCAGGACATTCTGCCTTTGGCCATGACTAGGGCAATATGCTGTTCATCAGAACAAGGACACCATGAGACCTCTTCAGCTGAGCTTTCTATCCTTTTGGAAGCCTCATCTTTGTCTTGATGAAAGGGAAGATCTCGCAAGTAGGAAAGCAGAGACGATGTGGGATGAGCAGAACTGTTACTCGGACACTTGGAGATGACCTCCCTATTCCTCTAGGCTCACCGCGTCCCTCCATGGCAGGTTCCCGGGTGCACGTTATATGGGTCATCTGCTCCATTTCCATGACGGCAGCCGGTCTGCTACTCAGCAGCATATTGGGGACGAGAGCCACACAGGCATTTTAAAATGAAAGTCTTCTGAGGGCCTGGTGGCTCCCTGGTGACTCGGCACAGGCCGGAAAAGCTTCCGAAACCGGCCCAGCAGATGGCAGCTGTCATTTATTTATTAGTGACCTTTTTTCCAAGATTTTATTTATTTATGTGACAGAGAGAGACACAGCGAGAGAGGGAACACAAGCAGGGGGAGTGGGAGAGTGAGAAGCAGGCTTCCTGCAGAGTAGGGAGCCTGATGTGGGGCTCGATCCCAGGACCCTGGGACCATGACCTGAGCCGAAGGCAGACGCTTAACGACTGAGCCACCCAGGTGCCCCGTGACCTTTTCTGATGGAACTTCAATTTTTGCATTAATTACCCTCCTGTGTTCCTTTTCCTACATTTCCCCAAGATGCAGTTACCTAGCAGCAATTCCTCCTTGCCGCAGGTTCGAGACTCTGGGCTTTCCGTCCTTGTCAATTCCACCGGATACCGTCAGCCCAAGGGTGGTGCCCTCCTTCTTCATCAGTTCGACCACAGTGGAGCCCTTGAATTCCTCTGTGAAAAGAAAAGCATTTGCCTTATTAAATGACAGTCGAAGCACAAGATACCGTTCTGCCTGGTGAAGGGACTCCTTCCCATAAACTCTCCCCACTTTTTCTTTTACGTAGAAAAGATCTGTGGCCTCTTCTCCAACACCATTTGCAGAGTATCTCATAAAGACGTGTATGCAGATAAAGCGGAGGCAGATATTCCACTATAGGTTATTAAAGTGGATACCAGTGGGGTAGTTCACTCTAGGTTCACAATGAAGAGTCCGACATGGCTTATATGCAAATGATGATATTTGCCCTTTGTTTTCTGCCATTCTCAAGCGACTTTCCCTGGTTTTTCTCCTTGCAACTCCAAAGGGAACAACTGAGAGTTGTAAGATAAGGGCCTAGAAGAGAGTTTTAAGTAATAATACGACAAGAATAATTTTAAATAATAATAACATATCACGCAGCAGCAAACTCCAAGTTCTTGGTACATTTCAGCTGAATAAGCCAAGAGACACAAGAGAAGAGAGCTTTCTACAGGTTGAAGAAAAATATTATTGACTCTATTGTTTTTTGTCTTTCAGAAAACAAAGTACAATGGCTTCACATAACAACTCACATCACTTCTTACAGGATGTATCACAATATGGTAAGGTGGGGTTGGTCCTCAGAATCTCCAGGTAACTGCCATAAATCCCTTTCTCTACTTTCAAAATTTTAAGATCTCAAAGATCTTGTCCAGACAAGGTCTATACACCAAGAGGGAACCCAGATCTTCTGATTTTAGGCACAACAGGAAGTGAGAAAACTTTGAGCATATCTTTCTTTCAGAAGCAAAATGAGTAGAGTCAACACTGACCTATCCAGAGGTTAAATAGGATAAACACTGTTTTCAAATTTCACTGTTATGTTATTCCCCCTCTGCATACACACTTTCTGGGTAAGGATGGGGAAACTCAAGTTTACCAATTCCTCCTGAATCACACTATGAATTTCAGGAGTTGTGATCTTCTAGGACATCAAAGACACTCATAGAATGGCCTTTCTTCTTCAAAGTTAAGAAACCCAAAAGGTTATTGGCACACCTCTTCCCCTTCCTTAATTAAACATAACAGAGTTAATTATCATTTCAAAAATCTATATGGATGCTTACCATATAGTTTTTAAATTGTTGCTGCTGGTATACTATTTCACTAGCCAATAAAAAAACTCAACTCATGTTTGGGAAGGAAATCATCACTCATTTGATCTAGTAAGGAGAACAGAGTATTCCAGGAAGGAAGCCGGGGTGGCGGGGGGGAGGCCACTGATTTCCTCACCAACGTATTGAATAGCATTCCAGGCAAGGCTTTCAAGATTGCCAGGTAATGTGACCTTAGCACCCCAGAACACCCTCTTTTTCATGACAGACTCATGACCCTGCATATGAGAGCAGTATTGCTTTTTAAAGTAGAAGGCAAGGAAAAGTCTATGAGTATGAATGATGTCAGCTTCATTCACTACATTCTGTATGAGAGACCAAATCATGATTGAAATTCAAGGATCAAAATTCTTGTCATGTGCATAAAAGCACAGGGCCTTTTCCATCATTTACCAGAAGCATTTGAAACAAAATTCTGTCACTGTGTGCATTTAACCTGTATCCCCTTAAATCTGAATAAAACACCCCTTCTATTTCCCATAAAAACATAAATGGGCCCAGCTGGTATTTAAAGAGGTCAACTTAACAAACAACCCCTGTAAGTTCTTCTTGACAGCAGGCTAGGTATACATTACTTTAAAAAATTAGGTTAAATAATTAAAATAATGAGAATTACATAACAGATGATGACGAGTCACATTATAGAGACATAATGTGCTCAACGATTTTGCCCCCAAAAAGAATTCTTTGCATTTTCTTTAAATACATAGATTGATCCTGTATATTTAAGCATTTGGTCACAGATCTTTACTTGAAGAATTGGAAGCATAGTTTTTTAAGGGCCCATCTCAAAGGTCAATCAGAAATGTACAAAGAAGCAACGATGAAAGAGTAATAACTGGCAAGGGAGAAATAAGTTTTAACTAATAAGACCTTCATTCCTACTCAGGTTTTCAAGAACATGTTTCCTGCATAAAATAGGTGCAGCCTTATGGGATGTGGACAATGCAGTTTTCTCCAGAAGGGACCCAGGTCCACACCGGGCTTCTGGCTGAATCTTGGACATCTAGAAAAAACTGAATTCCTTTAGTTTAATTTGTTCTTGTTAAAATATTAATCCATCTGGGCTTCTTTTTAAACTGGTAATAGTCAATTACCCTCTTATTTTAAAATGTTTCAAATATCTCCCCGAGTGCTAGTTTTAATAACATGAAAGAAAGAAAATATTGATGCGCCAGTTAATTGAGTAATTTGTGCATTCATTGATTCAAGCATTTATTGAGTGCCTACTATGAGCCAGACAGTGAAACTCAAAGACTAAAAAAGTCACAGATGCTTACAGCCTAGTCACAGAGGTAAATGAGTCACAGACCACCATGCCAGGGTGTGGTTTGGGGTAAGGTGGCCACACAGCAGATGGTCCTGGCTACAATGTAAAGTGAAGACTGGCTGTTCCAAATGCAGCATCTATTTCACAATTCTGTCTCCTGTCTAATCTGTCTGTATTTATTGATCAGGATTAGCTGAGCAGAACAGACTAAAGGAGGAATCTAAATTAGGCAAAACTCAGGAGTAAGGATAGAATATTGTTGCAAGAAAATGCGCTGAATCACGAGAATGTTAACTGCCAGTAAGTATCTCTAGACCCTGAAGGATTGACTAAATCTTTTATGGGTGTTTGGAAGGAACAGGAGAAATGAAGCAGTTGGGAGAGGGAAGAACATGCTTCTGGAGTTTACCTCCTGCTAATCTGCAGTCTCCATCAGATGAATCAATCAATTTATGTATTTTTTGGTGTTTAATGCTTGCATAATGATCTAATGGCAAAGAGAAATTATGACAGATGCATTCAATTGCATGAGTTCACTTATCTATCAAAGCTTACTGAATAAAACTCTGCAGTGAAACACTGGAACTTAGGCAAGTAGATACGTAGTGCCAATTTCTTTGTGATTTAAATTGTAAACATCCCTCCCCAAATTAAGAGGACCATGTAGAGAAGACTGTAGCATCCCCAAATTAGCAAGCAGCACAGGGAACAGATGATGCCCAATTGGCAAGGAATGAGATGGTTCTGGATTAGATGTTTTCCTTCATCACCATATTTAATTATCTTAGCAAATAAATTGCAGGTTTACATCTGTATCTGTACTCACTCAACATAGCCAACAAGAATCACACTGATAGAATGGGATTTAGTTGTTTGCTGTTTTCCTTGGGTTTGTAATTCAATCCTCTTAATTACTGAACTCCAGAAAGCTTTAAGGAAAGTAACAGTGATGCCTGGTGAAAGCAAGAGAATTATGAAAAGTTCTTGCAAACAAGAAAATTCAAAAACATGGTTACTGATGGTTATTGATGGTTACAAAATTAATGTGCAGAAAACCGTATCCTTTATAAACAAATAGGTGGTGAGAAGTAATCATAGAAGAAAAAAAAAGCCATTTACAATAACCAAAAAATAAAATTCCTAGGAAAATATTTAATGAAGAATGTACAAAATTTACACGAAGAAAACATCAAAAATGCTTCTGAGGAACATAAGATCAGAACAAATGTAAAAGCACCACATTCATTCATTCAATAAAAAATTGAGCACTTAATATATGCCAGGCATCATTCTAGGCTTCGGAGATATAAAACTGAACCAAACGGAGAAAATCCTTGCCGTCTAGGAATTAATATTCTAATGGGTAGCATAATCTAACCTCAAAAATATATCAGTGCTCCTTAAATTAATCTATGAAGTTCACAATATCAATAAAAATGCCAATAAGATTTTTTTGGACACAGGATATATTTAATATTATTGCAAAAATGGAACATACATCCTTGCAAAGATTCTGTGAAAAACTGTGGTCCCAAAGTATACCTTTGATGCTATGAAAGAATATAGAGAGCCTGTCCATGATGCCAACCTGAATGAGGTATTGGAGTCATGACTGGATGTTACGCTACTAATTATATCTCCCCAGATGCACTGGAACCATGAGCCTGGAGTGGGAAGTCTGGCAAAGCCTTTGTGTCTGCCTTCCAGACACTGGTCAGAGTTTGGATCTTCTTGGCTTTACCAAAGGAGAAAAAGAAAGAATGAATGAAAGAACAAACAACAGAAAGAAAGAAAGGAAGGGAAGAAGGAAGAAAGAAGAGAGAAAGGGGGAGGAAGGGAGAAAAGAAAAAAAAGAAAAGAAGTAGCACAGACATAGGACATTCAGGACCCATTATTAGACCATCTTAGTGTTTTGTAATACTGATTTGCAAAAATAAAGGTATGGCATAAGAATCATATTTTGTTCTGTAAAACTCCTGGTGTCTGGACATTCTTGCTTCATGGCTTATTTAAAAAATATATATATATAATTAGGCTTAGACCAAAAAAAGGACAGTTAACTCTAATTTTTGGCAGGTCCCTAAAATTCAGGGACTAAATTAACAGGGAATCACAAAGCAGACAATTCCAATAGTTGCTGAAAGTAGGGAGAGAGACAAAAAGGGATGATAACAAAGGGTAATAAGGGCTATGATAAAAGTAGATAAAGGACTGTCATGGTACAACCTGGGAGGACCCTTAATCAGACTGGACAAGTAGTGCTCTGGATGGCTCCTTGGAAGAGTTATCCCTGAGCTATCTTGAAGACAGCCTCAGTGCAGCGAATGGAGAAGGGAAAGTGTTAGAGGCACAGTAACAGTAAATGGTAGGTGATTACATGGGTTCTGGGGAGAGGATATCCATCAGTTCAATTTGCACTTTGTCAATCTGGCTGCATGTTAGAATCACCTGGGAGCTTTTCAAATACCAATGCCTGGGGCCCATCCCAGAACAAACCATCAGAATACCCCCTGAGGGGAATTTTTAAAATTAAACTTTTAATTTTGAG